CCTTTAATTGGAAAAAACTCCCTACGCACCTCGCGGTGCCGGAAAAAGGAGGTGTGACAAGTAACCATAGGATTACAGCCCAAAATGAATACTACTATTGTCTATGGAATCTCTATGACACGAAATGACATAGCCAACCAAGGCATAACCCGGTGGCTCAAAAGAATGATAATATAATAAAGTTCTCCACCGTTGCGAGGGTGGAGTCTCACCAAAAGTATCAACAGGAAATGTAGAGCTGCCCTATCCACGCGGTTCAAGCTGCCCAAGTCCAGTCCCTAAAAACATAAATCGAAATGTGACCGAAAGGCCTAAGCTCTACATTCCTAGTACGAATCATGAACGGTTCCCCAACAAAAATATAGGACAAGCCTTAAGGAGTGGTAAGACATGCAATGACAATTGATATAAGAAAGAAGCATTTATATAAATTAACAATTTAAAAAATAAAATAAAATAATAAGATAAAACATATTTCAATGTCTTCCTTTAGAGTTGATCTTTACATAATCATGTTAGATTTTTCATTTACCGGGAGCACTATACCATCACCGACACGAGGAAAAGTCAACTAGGTTATGTACCTAGCGGTAAGTATCATATACCCTACTTGCGCAGGTCGTCTCATCGTGGTGCCGCACGAATCGACTCAGCCGTGCTAATAAAGTAGCATAATAGTACCCCCTAATGGGAAGTACTCTGCCGTAGTCCCCAACCGTAAGGTAGGTTCTACGCCTACACCGGCACGTGTAGTTTTATGACCTAATGAGGAAAATATCCAAAGTCAATCTCGGTGAACTTAAGTAACTCCCAAAACCTTTACATTTATCAATGACGATATTCATAGCAAAATCAACTACTTAAAAATAGTTAAATCCAAAATATTTCACAACTCATGTATTTGCGTATAAAAAATACTACAAGGGCTATTCTCATTTGTTTAGTTTTAAAATTTGAATAACATTTCAAGAAAATAATATTCATAGCACTCAAAATCTTTTATGATGCAAGAAATGGTACAATCCTAACTCGCTCGTCCCTACAAGATAGGACTCACATTTAGAAGCTGAATTTAATCATATTTCGATATGAGTTTGGAGAAAAGCTCCGAAGGTAATAAGTTTCAACGTACCTCAAATTGCTTCCAACCTTACCCCAAATGATCCAATAATACCGACGAGTCACAATCTACATATACGAACTCACATAATTCAATAAAGCATCACAACAATACCAACTAACTCAACTAAGTGCCCAACACTTTAAGTCTAATTTCATAGGTTTAGCAAAAATCCCCATTTCACCATTTGAAGGTAAATCCTTAAACTTTAACTCAAAATCCTTCATTAAACATGTCATAGGATCTAGTCATTCCATTGAAAGCTCAAAATAACATCGTTGAACAAGACCCAACACTATTCATCATCTCTACCAATCCATTCTTCTAGGGTTCATGAACAGAGGCCTAAATACAAATCGATCTTCGTAAATATACTCTTTTACATTCATGGAGTATAATGTATAAGGTTGGAGTGAAGGGATTACCTTTTTGTCCAACCCTAGAAGAATTCAAGATTTGGGTTCTTGAAGTGTTCTTGAGATTTTCTTCAACAAATCTAGAATTTCCATGTAGTTGACGAGTCAAGAGGTATATTTAATGAACTAGATCTACCAAGAAAGAATTAAATTCTTACCTTAAGGTGTATTAATGGTAGAGAGCCTTCTTCTCTCTCTAAGTCTTCAAAGACAAAGCTTCAAAACATAAAAGACCAATTTCCTCCCGTAATTGCTTTAAAAAGGTTTCAAAGATCGCATGCCACATGGGACGCATCGCATGCACTATCGCGTGCGTCCCAACTCTATAAAATTTAAGGGGACGCCAAGGTTGGTGCGATGGGCATAGTTCACTGCCCCCATTCTTGGCAGATGGAGAATTGAGGGCTATGGGAATGCGACGCGTCACCCATAACGTCGACCTCTGAAGATCAAAAATTGATGCTCTTAACTTCCTTTTTGATAATCCCCATTCCCTTAATTTAAAATTGTATCCAGATGTGTTCATCTTGCTTAACTATTTTATTCTTTCAATTTCCTTTTTGTCCCCTTGTTTCCTAGCTGGTAACCACGTCACATAACTCATATTCTATCCACCGTCACCTTAAGCTCATATCCTTGATTCCCTCGTTTTTCATTTGTATTTATTTGTTCCTTAATTCATTTCCTTTCAAGAGTTGTTAATAATCCTTTTAATTACCATCCATCCAACATTCATTCTTTGATAGAAGTCATTAGTTCCAAATACCTCAATAACTTCGTGCTACTCAAATAATTCATATAGCTTAGGTTTGTTCAAATTACATCCTTAAGATCAAATTAAATCCAAATTATTCATAGAGGTTACGAGGCTTTACAAAAGCAGTCCAAGCCTGCACCCCTACATATGCAAAACTATTGGCACTCAAGGCAGGGTTACAACTCGCACAAGATAAAGGATTACTCCCCTGGAAATAGAAACTGACTCTAGAGAGATCATCCAGCTACTTGAGCGTAATGGCTATCCAGCATATACTAACATTATTTTTGAATGCAGATGCTTGTTGCGGAGATTGGGGAATCCAGTGGTACGATATAGTTTTTGTGAAGGCAACAGGGTGGCACATGTTTTGAGTAAAATAGGCTCCAAACAACCAACTCTTTCCGAGGCAACTATTTTGTTAACTCCCCCAGATCTTGTCAAGACAATGCACTACTAAAAAACCAGATTTTAGTGACGGACAAATTATGTAGCTAAATAGTACAATCCGCCGCTAATCACATTTAGCGATGGATTAGCGACAGATTATCAAGAAATCTTGCTAGCTACGGGCGATTTAGCAACAGATTAGCGACGACATTCATAGCTAATTTTAATTTTTTTTACAGTGATGGTGCAAGCCGACAAGGATAGAATAGCTACTACTATACTTGTATCTAACTCCATATGTAACAAGCTGACCATGTTTGAAAACTTAAGTGTAGTCCCTAATAATAGTACAAGTGATGTAATGCCACCTTAGTAGTTTTATTACTACTAGTATTAGGGTACGCGCTTTGCGCGTGTACACTATCTCGATAAGAAAGAATTTTAAAATATTATATTAAAATATTATGTTTGAATAATAAAATAAAAGCTAATATTCTCTAAAATGATGAATCTTCATACAAATTCTCAATCATCGATCAATGTATTCAACTAAAAATTTATTTTAATTTTTTCAGTCAATCGCTTTAAATTCATAAGTTATCATGCTTCCTTTTCAATTTCAGCTTAAGATTTTTTTTTTTAAAAGTTATTCACTACTTCATTTTAGAAGACTCAAATAGGATTAACAAATTGATAGAAAATAACAATTTTTGTTTCGAGAGTAAAATGCATATTATTTAATTTTTAATTAATAATAAATATTATATGAATTATTAACAGATTAGAAAAAGAATAAGTTACTGTAGCTTATTGTATAATCAAATTACATAATTATACGAAAAAATGAGTTCTGAAAAAATAAAATAAAAATAAATAATACTAAAACTAAAACTTTTTACAAAACAAAAGAGCTCGTCAAGGAATCTTTAACAAATATTTTTATAACAAAAAGATAATTATATGATTTTCCATGTCAAAGTCCTAAATAATAGGCAACTAATTAAATGATTGTCCCTAAATATGAGAAAAATAATTAATGATTATTCCTACATATTAGGAAAATAACTAAAATTACTACTTTGTCCAATATAAAATATATTTTTAAAGGGGTTAATGACCTTCGTACTTAAGATACACGTTTTGTATGTATACCTATATCAACAACTATATAAATATTTAAAAATATAGAAATATTATTAAATAACATATTTAAGTTATAAAATAAAAATTTTGAAAAATATATAAGTTATTGAAATGATGAATATTGATATCGCTGATCCAGGCGAGAAGTAAAATAAACAAAAACTTTTTTCAAAAAATATTAAATTATATTTAATTCTTAAAATATAACGTAATTAAAAGAGAAAAATACCTTTTCAAGATAGAATTAAATTGTTTTCAACTCCAAAAATTCATAACATAAAAATTGGTACCTCTTTTCTTCAAATAAAAAAAAGTTTCGGTAGTTGTTCAATTTTTTCCGTTAATGGCTTTGAATCCTAAGTCTAATGGTTTCTGGTTAGATATTAAAGATTTTGAGTTTCTAATGTATTTCAACGTAAGTTAGTTAATATATTTGGTCCTAAATTAGAACTTTACTTTATACATGGAGGAAATTTAGTTGATTTTAATGTCCTAAATATTAAGGCTTCCTACATAATAATTCAAATATGAAAAATTTTAATAAATATAATTTTATTTGATTTAAGGGTAAATGACAATTTTATCTAGTGTGAATTTTTTTTAAAGGGCAAAAAAGGCAAACGACATTTCGCTAAGGACCTTCGTGTATAGATATAAATATAAATTATTAATAAATATAAATAACCGTTTCTCCGGAAAAAAAAGTTAAAATTTAAAATTGGAGGGAGAAACACGTGGCTGCACCTTACAAATAAGTAGTAGAACATGGACTGCACTAAAAACTCGCAATAACATAAAGCAGTGGAGCGAGAGTGTGTCATCATCACTGTCGACCCAAACAAAGAACCGACCCACCTGAGTTTCGATCTCTCTCTCTCTCTCAACGACCCAGAAAAAGCGGCAAAATCTAATTTGCTTTTTGTATGAAAAGAAAAGGCAATGACCAATGAGTATCAACAACAAGACATGTACTCCCTTCAGGCACGCTCTCTTTCTTTCCTTCAAACTATTAGGAGAGTACCTTTTTCAATTCAAATGAACACACCCATGTCCTTTCTTCCTTTTTCTTTTTCTTTTTTTTACAAAAAATAACCTATATACGCATCGCACATTAATCATTATGAGCTTTTAGTGTGCGTGTGTGTGTATATCGTACTATATAGATCTGAGTTATCGATTTATATTGCTTTTTATAACGATCTTATAAGAGGGGAAGAAATTTATGTATTATGCAGAAAGAAGAGGAGAAAGACTCCTTCGAGCTGGGATCTGAGGAGCCTGAGGCCCCGTTGCCCCTCACTGTCACTTCTCGGGTCTGGTTTTTTTATTTTTAATTATAATTTATTATTATTGAAGTTCTGGGGATAGGAAAATTGAAGGGTGGAGCATTGTGTTGCAATTTGCAGGTGCTGTATATGTTGGGGGATATAACGGCGGGACCGGCGTATCGGTTTGCCCAATGGCTGGAGCTGGTCCGTAAGCGCAGCAGCAATTACCGCTCTTCTGGATTCCCTCATCGGATCCCCAGAGCCCATAGCATGCCATTAAGCTTAAGGTTCATACTTCTTTTTTAACACAATGACTTATATTCATCATAATATGATCTTATAGTAAAGAAAACTGACATTGATGCTTAATCATGCTATTAACCCAAAAATTTGTGTATTGGGCAGCACAACTTTGAGAGTTGGATTTAGACAGTGTAACAGTCTTCTTCAAATTTGAGATTAGTGACTGTGGTTTTCTTTAACCTGATGTGAGTTGTCTTTCTTGAAATTTTTTGTTATGCTGCGCTTGAGTTTATTGCTAAGAGCTATAACTAATTATGGACCACAGTTTGCAAGTTGTGCTTTTAGATTTTTATCTTCTTTGCAAAAGGTGACAGTTATTTTTTTTGATAAGGTAAATAATTTTATTAACAATTGGGGACTAACCCCGTATACAAGCCGTATACCCCCCCCCCCCC